TAATAGCGATGGCCTCCACCCTACTAGCAATGGCCTCCAACCTAATACCGATGGCCTCCAACCTGACGTATTAGCGATGGCTTCCAACCTAATAGCCATGGCCTCCAACCTGACCTATTAGCGATGGCCTCCTTTTTCCTTTCGCGAGTACTGAGCTCTAGTGAGACTCTTGGTACATTCATGCACACCAAAGCCCTTCATCCATGGTAGTCCGGCTGGACTAGCGTGGGCTCTTCTTCTACAGCTGCCTGATGCAGCTGTGTAAATTCGTTGGGCAGCCCAGCCTCAAGGCCGGATGGCCGAAGTCTGTACACAAAGCCATGAAAGGCCTCAGCCAAGGCTGCATTGAGCGCTGCCGGGTAAATTTTGGCCCTCGCGGTCCGAAACGAGCCTTTACATTTTCCGGCCAGGCCAATATGTGCACCCGGACCATGCGGACATCTACCTCTCAGGCCGCTCTGCATGACGATCTCCCGAAAGTCCTCCATTCTCACAAGCATCAACGTAGTGGGCTTAATGCCTGCAGCTCCGAAGATACATAGGTCGAATGAGACAACAGAGACAGCATCAGCTCACGCAATCATCTTCATTTCGCTCAGCCTCCAAATGGAGTGACATGGGGTCCCATACATCCATTGAGCAGTCTGCGCGTGCTCAAGAAATCCGCAGCCGCCGTAGGTCAAGGCCATCGTCAGAAGTTCCATGGCAACCTCCAGCAATCCTGAACCTACAGTGACCTGATTATGCTGCTTGCATGACAGATGCTTCAATCCCCACGGAAACTGCCGATCTCGTAGTGGCGGTGGTCCACCTCCAAGCCATCGAGCAACGGACCATGTTTCGCAGGGCGGCCCCCCTCCAACACCGATAACCTGTCGTGCCAGGATGCGATCTTTCCACCAGGGAATGCGCACTGGATCTAAGAGATCTCCCTCAGCACCTTGCAAGCAAAGATCGACACTTAGACAAAATGTCTCAACATTGTGCACCCACGTATGTGCCTCTATGCAACTCTGTAGATCGTGCTTCCTTCGGAAACCGGAAAACAGGTGGACAAAGACAACTGTACGCAGGTGGACTCTTGCGTCCCACACCGAAATTGATTCCCTCTTCATAACCCCTGCAGTGCCTTCGATCTGACCACGACCTTGTTGAAAAAGGTGTGCATTTTCAGGAGGCACAACAGGAACTGGGGCAACTGGAGCCGCAATGCGAATCCCTTCTACGTTGCACCAAGGGCTTTCACTGTGGGTACCTGTTTGGCATCCTCGAAAGATGGCCTGAGCTTCAGCACTTCCCACCGGGGGCAACGATGCAGCGGGAATTTTCATGGCCGGCAAATGAGCTTTCTTGACTTGCCAGCCAAGTGCTTTTTGTTGAGCACTGAGCTGTCTATCAGCTTCATCTAGCTCTTCTACCACCTCTCGACTCAACGGGGGAAATATCTCCTGCAACACACTCACGCACGCTTGCAAGTACCTTAAGTGTTGCATCAAACGAGGACGGACATGGTATTCTTTGCAACATGCCAGGCAGACAGACCCCCCAGCAATAAAGCGCACTTTGGGCCGGTACCCGTGCACATGTGCAGAACGCATGAAAAGCCCTCTCTTTGTGGGGAAGGTTTTATTGCACAATTGACAAGCAAATGCTGCTTCTTGCGGAGCACTAGCTTCACCATGGCAAAAAGAAAGCCCATACCCCTGAAATACGGCATGCATTTTCATGGTCCACAACCGGTGTTTGGCTAACCGATGCGAGAACCGAATAGCCGCATGCATGGCCTTCTTGACTCTGGCTTTCCAGTTGCTCTCAGCGGCCACAAATTGGCAAAGTTCGATCAAGGTGGCTTCTTGCGGCGGCCAATCGCCTTTAGGATTGTGTTCCTTCAGCCATTTGAAATCCTTGTGCAAGTGTTGCACCCAACTGTTTTCTTGAGCACATGCCTGAAGGATGTGCCAAAGGGCAGCCGGTTGCCGTCGTATTGCTCGAGCGAAGTACCGAAGTCGGTTGACCGTGATCTGTTGGACAGGTTCAAGCGTACCGCGTAAGGCTGCCAACTCATTGGTTGGGAATGCATAAGCATCATGCCCCGCAAGCATTGCTTTGACCAGCGGCTTAATCATGTCACGAAAAGCATGCTGCAACTTGCTAGTATCTTCTGGGCCAAACATGACAATGGTAGAAAAGCCTTGACCCAATCAAGCTACGAAACAACTGATGCTTGTTGGACTGGGACACCGCTGAGTGTCCCCACAGGTTCCGCACCAAGGGTACCCATGCATGTTTAGCCTCTGAGTTGCGGCGCTGCACTTCACGAGCAGGCGTGGCATCGCTTTGGACGTATGACCCTAGGTGCTTGTAACTGTGGACACATCGCAAACTTTCCACAGAATGCTCTAACATGACCGGCACACTTCCCTTCTGATCAAGAAAGATTCGCTTCTTGAGAATCCTGGATCCAGCACCAGTACAAGCTAGTACAATTTCTGTCTTGTCAGGCTTGAAATTGACGCTCTTTCCTCTTTTGCATGCAGCATCACTAAGTACAGCTAAGGCCTGAGCGGCAATCTTCAAAACCTGGTTGCAATCTTTAGCCACCAGGCAGAAGGCAGCATCATCGAAGAATGCGACATCAACAAAATCTGCTTGCATCTCATCACCTTGGCCCGCTCGCAACGGATGCTCAAGCCAATCAAGAACTCCCAAGTTGGTCAATTGACCCCTAACCTCTTTGAGTAGCAACTGCGTGAGGATATTAAAGGTGATGTCACCGATAGGGTCACCTGGACGGGTGCCTCTCGAACGCATGGTGAAATGTGCCTGACGAAATGCAAAAGTTGACTGCTGGACCATCGGTGTTTGGCCTTGGAGCGCAAAGTCCGCTTTTGCTTGCCTCTCCCATTCATGAAGTTCTTCAGGCCCCACCCCATGGTCTTGCAAGAAGTGACATAAAGCCACATCATTGAGCTCATGACCAAACAGACTTTGCCGAAGCACATGCTAAAATGCTGAGTGTAAATCCAAGAAGACATGCGCTGATGGCAATTGTGCACCTACAGCCCACGACATCATGCTCTGGACTACATGGTGACCAAGGTCGGTACCCATTCCTGCTCTGCCTCCGAAACAAGCTGGACTTGCCAGCTGCTCATAGGTACTACAAAGTCGTTCTCTCAAACATCCATGAGCCAATTTGGCAATTGTGTCGGACAGAAAGATGGCACGGTAGTTGTCCGGATTCGTCACCGCACCTTTCTTGCGCAATGGAATTGCAGTTCCTGTCTTCCACTCTAATGGCTCTCGGCCAGCACATGCCGATTTGACGAAAAGTTCATGTAGCATGCTGGCCATAATCTCCCCACCAGCCTTGATCACCTCATTGGGAATTTGATCAAGACCGGGCGCCTTGGCGGATTTGAGCTTGCGAATGCGGCCCTTGACTTGGTCTAACGTGGGCAAGTCCTCAAGCGAAACTGGACATTGACTGCCAAGCGTATTCATGTGATCAGCCTGCAACTGCTGGTCAGTAACCCGCTGGGCAGCTTCTACCAGCGCAAAGCGATCAAACCAGGCTTCTTGCTGCTGGACATAGGAAGTCATCACTTCCCCACTCTCCGTGCACAACATAGGCAGGGACTTACGTGCAACATCACCTTTGCGCTTACGACCAAGCAATTTGAGCTTGTGAGTAACTTCTTTAAGGTTACCCAAAAGCCCTGCCTCATTCAAATCAACCACCACTTGATGGAAGAAAGCACGCCGATCTGAGTGGCAAGCTTTCCGAACTTGCTTTTCGTCAGTTCTCAATTCTTGCCACAGTATGTCTCTCCACACTGCTGACTCAGTGGTGCGACTCATGGATAGGAGCGCCCTCTTCCAACTGATGAGCGTTTTGGTCTGGACGGACATCCAGGGAGGTTGTTGCTTTCTGCCTCCGGCTCAAAGACTGACTCAGCTATGTCACGAATGGCTCTTCTTTGCCATTCCGCGTGCTCATCAACATCTGTATGCCAGTCAAGCACTGGCAAATCTTTGGGCTTGCTCTGGAACAGCGCAACCTTGGTTGGGTCTGAACATTGACTGCGGTCGATTCGGCTTTTCACAATCTGCTCGGCACAAGTCCAACCCTCCAGCTCTATCAAGGTGGGTATGTGATCATCATGAGCGAAACCCCCGTCAAATGACACCCAGCACAAGGAGCGCTGAGCCCATGCACTCAAGGTGGAGGACAAGGCAACATAATCAATGCGTTTCCACATCCCCCGGGGATGCCTCCATGTGCCATGCTGCCCTTTGTGGATTCCGTCCCATGTCGCAGGACAAGCGAGACGCAGGTCATGCATTGCACCCTCGAATGCTGGCGTGGCCCCATTGGGCTCTTCGCGCCCAGCAGATCCGATGAGCTCATCGGCTTGATTCCCCGTTGTTGCATTTGCATCCAGAAAAAGGCATATCTGCGCAGATGATGGAGCCTGTCTCAAGGCTTGCACTAGGTCATTCCACCAGTCAAGGACACCTTGGTGCGTCTCAGCAGAACCCCATGATGGTGCATGACTCCAAGTGGATTATCAAGCCGCAGGAGCAACAAGCGTGGCTTAGACACTAAAACCACCAACTTGGACTGATCAAGACCGATGTGTGCGCCTTGCACCCATGAACAAGTACGATGGAACCAGAGTTCACAACCAAACAACCTCGTACCTTGGGACACTTCAGCACTAGAACTGAAAATACGGTAATGCTCGGTGTTGGAACATCCCTCACTCATGCGAGCTTCCTGCAAACCTGCTACCGCGATGCCTCTGTCATGAAATTGCGCATCAATGCGCCCACTCTTGTCGCCATCCCGACGCCCTCCCTGATCTAC